CCCGCCAGCAGGTACGGGTGGGGGAACCCGCGTTAGCGCTGCCCGGCCTGGCCGGAGCCGCCTCCGCCGGGCGCAAGCGCTGAGAAACGCTTTTCTTCGTTCCGGTTTAACGTCAGAGGCGGAGATCCTCAGGCTTGAAAGACACCGTGCCTGGAAAGCCTCCCCAGGAGCCAGCTATTTTCCTTTAAATAAGCCTTTTTTAAGCATAGAGCGCTTCTCGGTGCCACGTCTATCTAGTTTATTTAAAACCGGCCCCTGTCCTGCCCAAGTTCTCCTCCCCTCGTGGTTCCTGCACCATCCCCAGTATGTTGTGTACATACGGACACAGGCACACGCGTGCCAGGCCACTTCAGGGGCCTGCCCGCTTCAGTCTCACTGTTTTCTGAGCAACAGCATCTTAGTAATTCATTAAACCTCCAGGCAGGACGTCTTAGCAAGACTATAGAATACCATGTTGCTTCACCCATGCTTACAATTCAGCTCTGGAATAGCATTGCAGCACCTCAGTATGTTATTACTTTTTTTTTTTTTTTTTTTTTTTTGGCATCTGCATCCAGGAAAAGGAAGAAAGGAGGTCTCCTGCTAGAGGCAGATGACAAAGAGGAAGAAAAGGCTCAACAGAATGAAGAGGAGGAGGAAGAGGAAGTAGCTGATGCAGAGCAGGTGGAACGAAACAGAGAGGAAGAAGAAAAAAAGAAAGAGGATGCTCTTTGGGCCAGTTTCCTTAGCGATGTAGGACAGAAACCCAAAGCGGGGGCTACCACGCAAGTGACGCAAGCTAAGAAGGTAACAGGGGGCTGGGCCTTCACCCAGGGAGCATGGGAAGGGTCTGAAGCTTTAGAAACACAGCATTGGTTTTGACTGGTCCCTAATGTCAGTCAGAGCTGGGAGGAGGCTGGGTTTACCCCTGCCTGTCTGCTTTATAAGCCTGGAGGCCCACTGTAGGGCAAACTAAGCTGCTGGTTCCCTTCCAACTGGGAGGTTGATGATCTGGTGTTGCTGCTTTTGGAGCTGCTTATCAGCATCTCGGAGTGTCCCAGGGAGCCCTTCCTGGTCCTGGATTCTCCTTGTGACACAGGAGCAGCACAAGGAGCTTTGGTGTGAGCTGTGCTTGTGGGCACAGCTCTCCCCTGAGGCTTGTGCCTTTCCTGATGCTCAGAAAAAAGGGAGAGTCGGTGTGTGAGTGGGGAAGCAGGAGAGACCTGTGCTGACATCTCTGTGCCTTGCCCTTCATCCTCGTACAGGGAGGAGGTCTGGAAGATGCAGCCTGTTGGGACAGACATTTGTAACCAGAACGAATCTGGCTTTATCTGGTTCCCTTTGTAAGCCCCATTGGCATACTCTTGCATGAGGTTTTCTGTAGCAAAAATTCTGTGTGTAATCAGCTATTTAAAAGGATTTGGTTCTTAATAAAACCAAATGCATGTATTAGCCAGGTATTTTGTAACAAAAGTCTGGACTCTTGAATCAGAGATGCCTGGCGAGTATGGTTCTCCTTGCCCTGTGAAGCATCTTTCTACAACTGTTGGAACGTTGCAGAACAAGTGTGGTTGTGTAATCTTTGCTTGCAACTTTTGGGAGAAGAGTCCTTTCATCTGAACCCTCCTGCTTCTCTCCATCTCAGTTGTTACTGGCTGAATGGCTGAGATGCTTACAGGTAGAAAGAGGAGGAAAAGTTCTCTTCTGAGCAATGCTAGTTCTGTGGTGAGGTCACTAAAACATGAGCGGTCTTTGAAAGTTCCTCCCATAGCCTAGAATGATTTCTGGAGAGATGCAGTTCTTCTGTTATCTTTGTGAGCTTCTTAATTTGGACTTAAGGTGTCTGCTTGAAGATCTCTCTGATGTGTGGTTGATTTAGCGCAAGAATTTTAGGGGTTGTTTTGATTATTTATAAGGTCTGAGGGTTTTTTTTTTGTATGCTGTTAAAAGCTGTAGCTGTGATTGAGTAAATTAAGAGGCGTTGTTGACAAATAGCTTAATAAAAGTATTTCCCTTTCAAATTAAAAAGATTTTATTGACAAGTAGCTTAACATCTTCAGGGTTCTCTGTGAAGATCAGCCTTAC